CTCCACTAAATGAAAACATTTTGAGGAAAGATGCACTGGCATTTTTAAACTAGTAATTATAATAATAATTTGGTGAATATTAAATTTAAGTCCATTGTATGCTGAGAAAATTATACATACCTTTTGGTAAAGTGATCAGTTTTACAATTTTAAGTATTACAAATTAAGATATGTAGAAAAAGTAAGGCATTTATGGCTTTCTTAAAGGTCTAAAACTGAATATAGAAATAAAACTATCGAACTTCTAGAAGAAAACAAAAATACTTGCACAGACAAATTTCTTTGGGCACAGAAAACATAACCTGTAAAAGTCACAAGTGGGAGAAAATATTTGTGAATCTCATGCCTGATAAAAGACTTGCCTAACAAAAGACAGATTTTATAAATTTAATTAGAAACCCCCAATAAAAGGGGAAAACACTAGCTATAAAAATGGACAACAAATTTGAACAGATGGTTTTGAAAAGAGATAAATGAATGACAAATTGATGAAAAGATGTTCAGCATGATTAGTCTTCAGAGAAATAGAAATACCCATTAAAAACCTAATTTAATATTTCTTCACATCCATTCTAACCTGCACTTAAATGATGATTCCAGGTATTGGTGAGGTTGTAAAGTGCTAGAATCCTTATACATTGTTGATAGGAATATAAAATGATACAGTCACTTTGGAAATTAGTTTGCCAGTTTCTTTTAGGTAAAAATATGTTTACAATATCCAGTAGTTCTATTTTCCAAGAAATAAGAAACTCAGGTCAATTTTTCAGAAAAATACTTACCACCATATTTATTGTGCTGCTTTGTTTATAATTGCTGAAAACTTGAAGAAATAACCTAGCTGTTCATCAGAATATGAGTAGCTAAGCCAATTTTTATATCCAGACAATGGAATTTTGCTTGGCAATAAAAGAAAAGAGCAAACTACTTCTGCCAACAACATGGATGAATCTCAACAATATTCAGTGAAAGAAGCCGGACAAAAATTGTTTATTATGTGTGATTCCACTTACGTGGGGTCCTACGACAAGCAAATGAATAGTTTTGACAGAAAGCAAATCAGTAGTTGTCTGCAGTGAGGAATTGACTGCAAATGTGCACAAAGTAACACTTTTGGATGATAGAAATTTCTGTATTTGGTTTTTTTGAGTGGTTACACAGGTGCATACACTTGCCAAAATGTATCCTACTGTATGTTTTACATGAGTACATTTTATTATATGTAAATTATACCTCAGTAGTTTCCTTTATGGTTTGGCTTTCTGTAACCTTTTTTCTTTCCTTTCTCTCTGAAATTCAAATGTTATCTGTTATTCTAAATTTATCATAGCATTTGTTTGATCGGTTACTCCTTCCATTTGTCACCTTGTCTTCTACTAGGCCAGTGAGACTGAGTGCCCAAACTGCAGCAAACCCACTTACTTATTACAGAACGCAAAGACTGCAACTAAACCTGAATACTGAGGCTTTAGTTTATAAAAAACAACTCATACATTAACATTTTTTGTCTTAAAAGAACACAGTAACAGAGCTATCAGTGATACAACCAACCTTTTATTGAAAGGTAAAAGTTTACAGTTGGCTTGCTTTTGTACAATTAATGTGATTGTTGCTGATGTATGCATGCTAATTTGTCAAGCCTTGGCTCGGGTGACTTGGCTCATGTGCCTACAAAAAGGGCTCTGCCTGCTTGCTACAGCATACGTGCCATAGGTTCACCACCACTGTACTAGGTTGTGAGCTCTTGCTCATCTTTGTTTACCCTCTAAAACCTTGTTCATTATAATCTTTCAGTAGATGTTTATTAAATTAGTTAAGGTGAAGGAATCCTAATCCTAGATTTATTTCACCAGTGCCGTGTGTAGTGGCATATACCTGTAATCCCAGCTACTCCAGAGGCTGAGACGAGAAAGATTTCAAGTGCAAAACCAGCCTAGACAATTTAGGAAGACCCTGTCTCAAAATTTTAAAAAGTAAGAGGGGTGAGAAAAAGTGAAAGGGGTGCGCCCAGTGGTAGCGCATTTGTCTAGCATGTTTGTAGCCCTGGGTTCAATCCCCAGTACTGCAGGAAGAAAAAAAGACCTATCTACAAAACAGTTTATAATTGGTAATATACATCCTTGGGTAGTTACAATTATACACTTCATCCTGTTTTTACTTACTATAGCATTAGATGGTAGACACATGGAAGATGAGTATTCCTGGGCCCTATAGGAAGTTATATTTAAGGCAAGGCATTATATACTGGTTGCAAAGGACTGAACTGACAATGTATTTGAATCTAGCAATGAAAGAAAATTAGAATCAGAAACTTAATGCTAAAGGTTTATGGTGCCCTTTTATCTAACTCATTATAGTATAGTCCAAGAGAGGTTAAGTAGCCTCACACACAAATTGTAGAAGTATAATTAAAATTAGAAGCCTTATTTCCATCACGTTCTATACCCCAAATTTAACAAAATGGAGAATTTGCTACCTTTGGAAGTTCTAATGAGTTGCCCTAAACAAGGCTTTTGTTAGGTCGGAATCTGAAGTTTTGACATGTAGAAGGTAAGAAAAAAGCAAAAACAAAAACATAGCACCCTCGCCAGGGCATAATCAGCTATTGCTACTATTTTTTTTTTTTTTTTTTTTTTTTTGGTTTTTCTCCGGTACCGGGAACCGAACTCATGACCTTGCGCTTGCCAGGCAGGCGCTTTTGCCGCTGAGCTAAATCCCCAGCCCCTATTGCTACTATTGATTGAACCAAGATTGGGATTGGAACCTTGGAGAAAGGTCAAGACTTGGCTTTTGTGTCCCTGGGGATATTTTTGCTTTTATGTGTAATTAGAACCCGTTTTAAATACTTAATTGAATTTTAAATACTTGTTGAATTTTCCATAGTAAGAGTATACTGCAACTTTCTAAGGAGTTGTTAATATGTAACCTAAAATAATACTGAATTCTACAGGAAGGTTAAAACAATCTAAATGTATCTAAACTCCTTTTTACTGTTGTCTGTTCATGTGTAAATTTATTGAGGCTTCAGGCTTGGTCACAGTTGCTATTTGGTATTTCACTGGCTTTGCATTTCTTTCTTTCTTTTTTTTTTTCTTCTTTTTCTTTTTGAGACAGGGTCTCACTATGCAGTTCAGGCTGGCCTCAAACTCTCAACGATCCTCCTGCCTCAGCCTCCTGAGTGCTGGGATTATAGGTGTGCACCACTATGCCCTGCTTGCATTTCATTTTTAAAAAAACAGTATTAAATAAGTTTTATAACTAAAGTGATTTCATATGGTTATTTTGAATTTTAATGATGAAGGACATTGAGATTAAAAAAAAAAAGCCAGCTTTGATAGTTGTAGGAAAGCATGTTCCTTTGTCTTTTGAATGAAAGATGGTAATGATGAAGGAATAGAAACTGCTGCTATTTAATGAATTCTCCACTCTTACTACATGGATACAGCCTCCAAATTTCACAAAGGAAATAACCATCAGCATAGCATCTCTACTTTCTGATGGATTGGTCTTTTCTTGTAAAGTAACCGCCTAGTTTTGTTAGTAAAAACGTTTTATTTTAAGTATATTTCTAGACACTTACTTCTGATAGGCCTGGTAAAATGTGGATTCCTTCATGTTCCTTTAAAATTCCCTCAAAGAAATGATTCAAGTTTGACTTGTGTTTTTAAGATAAAATAGCAAAGTAGGAGGAAGGAGAAAATTGTAACTTTGCTCTGAGGGGAAGAAAAATCTTTCAGTCCTTTGTTGATACCTTAGCTTCTACAATAGTCATAGGTCCTTCCTCCTTAGCCATGGGGGGAACTGAAGGAATAGCATCCTTTTGTAGGTTTGTAAAATTACAGTGGAAAGAAAAGAAAACAGTTGATACAAAAAAAATAGGACTTTTTTCCCCCCTCTAGCTTTTACAATTATAATTTTAGGTTAGTAGTAATCAGTGGTTTCTGGATATTTGGCCTCCACTTTGCTCCTTTATTTCACCATTTTTGGTGTATGTTTGTGTTTTTTTCTGTTCAGTTTTTTTGCGGGGAGGTAGATTTGGGGTTTTTGTTTGTTTGTTTGTTTTTTGTTGTTTTTTTTTTTGCAGTATTTGGGAGAAACCCCAAGAGTGTTCTACCACTGGGCTATTTCCCTGGTCCTTTTAAAATTTGTGCTTTGTGATAGGGTATTGCTAAGTTGTCAAGGCTAACCTCAAATCTGTGATTTTCCTGCTTCCTCCATCCTCTGCCAGTAGCTCAAATTATGCAGCTCAACATTTTGTTTTGTTCTGTTTTGTTTTGTTTTTTAAAGTTATAATGAAAGTCACCTAGCATACAAAGCGAGTGGACACAATTAATTTCAATGTTTGGAGGAAAAACCTCAACTTAGGTCTGAATTGGAACCTGTAAGTTTACTGACAGTAGACCGATGAACTGATGAGGTTTATACTGATGGAAGTGCTCAGTAATGAGTTAACTCATTGAAGAGTTTAGAGGGTTATAGAGGATGAAGGTTGTTAGACCAACTTAACAAAAAGGGGGGATGTAGAGAGTCAAAGGACAAAAGGTTCCCCTGAGGCTTTAGAGTGTTCCAGGGCCCACAGTCAGTCACCCCATCACCTCCTGCAAGGAGTGGGAGCGTTGGGATACCTGACTGTCTTTAAAACTCTGCTTGGTCAAATAAGGAAGTTCAGATAAGACTATTACTTATCTGTTATTGGGCTTTTGGTCCCTTCAGTATTTTTAAATATTAGTATATACTTTGATGACTTTAAAAGCATTTTTATATACCTCATTTAATTCACAGGACTTTTTATGTAGAGCAGGCAAATACTGTTATCCCCATTTCACAAGTAAGAAAACTGAAGCTCGGAGAGGCTAAATATTTGTTGAGAGCCACACGATTGATAAGGGGGCTAAATTAAGAGTTTATTTAGCATTTCTTACTTTAACAAATTGAATAATCTATTATCTGTAAGTGCTTTAAAGGTGCCATTGTTTAATAACATTTGTTTTATTTTATAGGAGAGAATGATGTAAACTGGTTCATCAGTGACAAAGACGTTGAGGTAAAATCAAATTGTTTCTGAAATCCTTAATGGGCTTATGCTTTTGATATATAGAAGTCATGAGCTTTTTTTTAAAATTGCAATGAACCCAATGACTTATAATTGAAAGTTTAATACACCTTTTCAGAACTTTAATTCAGCCTTGATATTTTCAGCCAATTAATAGTCATAATGACTTAGTTCCCTTTTCCCTTCTCTCTCTGATCACGATCTTGATAGCTCATATGGCCTGATACCACTAAAGATCAACACCGGAAATAACTGCTTCTTCAGTGTAAGGAAATGGTCAGTCTATATTTAGAATGTGGCAGATGCTATAACAAATAATAATTTACAACTTGTTACAAGTTTTAAGAAATAACTAGATTGGCGATAACTGGTCCACTTAGCCAGTTCAGAAAAAAAAGATGAAGCTTTTTCAAAGATGGAATTCTACCAACAAGATAAAAGCATTGTTGTGATTCACAAATTCTTTAGGTAGCCCATGTGATACGTATTGCTAATATACTCTTGTACATATTAGAAGTTGACTAGCATGTAAGACAGCTAAAATTGCCTCACTGTGCAGCAGAATGAATTTTTAAAGGATTCTGGTGAAAGGAAATTATCTCAATCTCTTTTAAAAATTATAATCCTGTCTGGTAGGCAGTGACTATAAATCTGTGCTCTTCAAAGGAAGGGATATATTCGGTAGCTATGTGGTTCTATTATTGAATAAAGACAAAGTCATAAAAACACTATTCCCTAACCCAAAATTAAAGCAGGCCTCTCATTTAGAAATATATCATGTACAATTACATGTAGAAATGAGCAATTATTTTTGGCTCTTAATGCCACGACAATGTCTAAGTAAATGATCCACGTTAATACTCCTGCTAGACCTGAATCATAAGTTGAGAGAGAAAAAAAGTGTGTGGACAAGTATAAAAGAAGGAGCAGACACAAGTAACTAAAGCTGTCTTTATGTCTCCCTCTTTTATGTCCTTCTACTTCTTTTTAAGAGAATGAGAATTACTTTGCCTTATCAAAGTAATGGGACTGAGTTGAAGCCTGATGTTTCTTTACTCAGAGATAATTATCTTTTTAAAAAAGAATAGATGGTTTGTATTAATCAGAATGAAAGAATTTTTTTTAATTCTTAATTTTTCCTCCTTTTAGGCCCAGATAGGTAATAACAAATCATCTGGAAGATGGACCCGTCGATACTATTCAGCCAACAAAAATGTTACCTGTAGAAATTGTGATAAGTGTGGTCATTTGTCCAAAAATTGCCCCTTACCACAAGTAAGTGAAACTCATAATACTTCTTTCCATATTATTAAAATCAAAATCTTAGGATTAGAACCCCATAACCTTAATTTCAAGTCTTTTATAAATATATATCAGATTTCATGTATCTCTTTCCATATTATTAAAATCAAAATCTTAGGATTAGAACCCCATAACCTTAATTTCAAGTCTTTTATAAATATATATCAGATTTCATGTATCTCACAGTCTTGGATGAGGGAAAAAACAATATATTTAGCATCAGGAAAATCTGTAATTAATTTCAGCTTCCCATTATTAGTTGTATGACATTGGGCAAATCATCTGTTTCTGTTTTTTATCCGTAAAATAAGAAGATTGAATAAGATGATTCCTGAGACCCCCTTTCACCTCTTAAACCAGCTCTTTTATGAGATAGCTTGTTTCATTGTGTTAGAGAATGATAATTTTATTTATAAATTTTTAATGTAATTGGAGCAACACAGAGCTAAAGGTCTTAGCTATTCCCTATATATATTAAACTCTAAAAACACATATTTCTTCTATTACCTATTCTTTCCTCCAGATGACTATCTTTCAGATAGTCGAGACTGCTCATGTTTCCTCTGTTTTTGCTTCTCTAGACAAAACACCCTCTTCTGATATCTGTTCCTGCTATGCTTTACCTTCAGATATCCTGACATCCAAAGTAGATATCTTCTATTCTGTGAATGTTCCCGTAAAATAAGACATAAGAAATGAATGCCCATTGATAGTGCATGTAGCTTATAAAACTGATCTTAAAGCTATAAATTCAGACAGTTTGTTTGATTTTACAATTATGCTTAATGTGCGACCTTCATTGTATTCTCAAATTAATATGACATTTTATGGAATTATATAGAAAAAGGAGTATTAATCTTTTACCATTTGAGATTGAAGTATTTTGCTAAAGAGATTTTGTTTGTCTGCCACATAGAAAGTCCGCGCCTGCTGCCTCTGCTCTGAGAGAGGACACCTCCAGTATGCCTGTCCAGCCCGCTTTTGCTTAGACTGTTCTTTGCCAGTGTCTTCCACTCACAGATGTCTTGAAAGATCTTCCTGGAGAAAACGATGTGACCGATGTGATATGATAGGCCACTATGCTGATGTGAGTATCCCACATATAAAGAATTTGTTAGGCTTTGGGGATACTTTGTCACTTTGTAGCTATCAGTCTGCCTACCTTAAAGAATGTTTGCTCTGCATTGTATAGAATGATAGTCATATCCCTTTGGCCACTAAACATGTAAAACAAGGCTACTGTAAATCTCAGAATGGCAATTCTATGGAATAGTTCATTAAGAGGCAGCATCAGCAAATACCTTTAAGCCCATGTAAGCCCCTTTACTTGATTTCCTTGCCAAATAAAGGTTGATATTAAAGAGGAGTATAATAAATAACATGTAAAAGTTATGTACATACTCATGCGTATTTATTTGAAAGTATATGTACACTTAGCAGTTACATGTAAGAGTCCATATAAAGCCTGATTTGGTTTTTTTCTTTTTGTTTTTTTCCGGTACTGTGAATCAAACTCACAACCTTGTGCTTGCCAGGCAGGTGCTGTGCCGCAGAGCTAAATCCCCAGCCCCTAAAGCCTGATTTGGTATTGATGATTTTTGCTGGTATTATAGTCTTAGGCAAAAAAGACAAACCATCCCATATTTTAAATACTTTATCTTATCTTTATCCCATACTTTGTCTTATTAGCGTTTTTTTTTAGATTTAAGAAGCAAAAGTAATTTAGAAGACATTCCAGTTGCAGCACATTATAAATGTTACATTGGACATTGTTATAAATGTGCATGGGCCGAGGACAGTTCTAGTGACAGTTTTAGAGACCAGAGGGCTGTTAAACTAAGTAGATACAGCTTTTGATGTGGAATAGTTTTCTACTTTCAATTTACCCCCAAGTCCTAATGAATATCTCATTAAGGGTCTGTCATTTTAGCTCTTAATTGCATCCCTTACTACATAGTAACATATGTTTGTTTTGTATTAACAGCTAATCAGTTCAAAGTCATTTTTCATACTCATACCTGGGTGCCAGTCCTAATTGGTGTAAGGAATATTTATGAAAGGATTAACTCTCGCTTTTCTTTCAAGCATTACTTATCCATTAAAAGATTTGTAATGATCTTCCCTTTAAATGTATACTTCCCAAAGATATGATAGAAAAGCACCAACATTCTTCTAATTTTGTTTACATGGAAGTGTACCTATAGCCTTCTGCTCAAAAAAATAATATGACTCTCTGTTAGAATGAATTTCAGATTAAAGCAAGTTAGAGTACAAGTGCTTGGAATATGTTTTGCACATAAATAATATGTCAATTATTGACTGTAATTCTGCCAGTAAATTTATATTTAGCTTTTTTTCATTTTTTAAAAGCAAACTATGCTATAGTAAATATCTTTTATATGTGTATGTGTATTTATCGCTTCTCAGCCTTTTGGCTAAGATCAAGTGTATGTATGTGTATTTATATATCAATCTGCATATATTTGTAAGTTTTATGATAGGTCAGATTTTGTGGAAAAATGAAATTTAAAAATATATATACATTTATGTCTGAATAAATATTGTCAGATTGCTCTTCTAAAAACTTTGTACCAATAGATCACCTACCATTAGTGTTGATAAATGTAGTGCCATCTCATCCTCACTTGGCATAGCTGCTTCCAAATTATAACTCCTTCCTCTTTGATTCTCTTGGCTTATTTAAGGGTCATATCCTCTGACATTACTACCCCTCTGCCTTTCTTTGTCATTGAATTTTTTTAATGGACTTTCTGCTCATTCACAGAGAACTTCTAAAACCTAAATAACTATCAGTGCTTGTCTTGCTTACTTTTCTCTCATTGCTAAGACAAAATACCTGACACCCAAAATGAAGGAAGGAAAGGTTTATTTAGCTTACAGCTTTTGGAGGTTTCAGTCCATACTTGGCTGGCTCCAAGGCAGAGTGGCACATGGCAGAGGGCAAGAGTTCATGGTGGCAGAACAGCAAAGCAACAAGAGCAAAAGGGAGAAGTGGTGGGGAAGAGCAAGCCTCTTTTCCTCCCTTGTATTGTAAGCAGGCTACCCCCACCCGGGGAGTGTGTAGCACTTACATAATCTTCATTCCCTCCTCTTGCACAGGCTCAGGATGAATACAAAGTAAGTACCCTGGCTCCCTGCTGAATCACATAGTTCACCTTCTAAACTTCTCAAACTGACACATGAACAATATCCCAGAAGGGTAAGGGCATGTCCGGTTCACCCCAGGATACAGAACTGCTAAGTCACTTAGCCAAACCTCTATACTCCCCCCAAGTTGACACAATGTATCAACCATAAAAGTGCTCTAACCTTATAACCTTTTATATAATGAGATCAAGAAACTGACTTTATATGTTCCCATAGCTACAACATGGGGCCTCTGTTTTGTCAGAGTACCAGGTATGTATATGCAAAGAGAATTTGTAATGAAAACTGATGAGTCGGGGCTGGGGATTTAGCTCAGTGGCAAAAGCGCCTGCCTGGCAAGCGCAAGGTCGTGAGTTCGGTTCCCGGTACCGGAGAAAAACCAAA